TTGACATATTATAAGAATGTCTAATCTGTAATTTGATGCCTTTTGGAGATTTTTTCATCTTTCCTTGGCTTCTTTATGCACATTAATACAAATTTTTAGCTGGGGTGCCCAAACTTTCGATCCCCACTGTATATACAGTATCTCACAGAAGTGAGTACACCCCTCACATTTTTGTAAATATTTTATCATATCTTTTCATGTGACAACACTGAAGAAATGACACTTTGCTACAATGTAAAGTAGTGAGTGTACAGTTTGTATAACAGTGTAAATTTGCTGTCCCCTCAAAATAACACACAGCCATTAATGTCTAAACCGCTGGCAACAAAAGTGAGTACACCCCTAAGTGAAAATGTTCAAATTGGGCCCAAAAGGTCAATCTTTTGTGTGGCCACCAATATTTTCCAGCACTGCCTTAACCCTCTTGGGCATGGAGTTCGCCAGAGCTTCACAGGTTGCCACTGGAGTCCTCTTCCACTCCTCCATGACGGCATTATGGAGGTGGTGGATTTTAGAGACCTTGCGCTCCTCTCACCTTTGAGGATGCCCCACAGATGCTCAATAGGGTTTAGGTCTGGAGACATGCTTGGCCAATCCATCATCTTTACCCTTAGCTTCTTTAGCAAGCCAGTGGTTATCATGGAGGTGTGTTTGGGGTCATTATCATGTTGCAATACTGCCCTGCGGCCCAGTCTCCAGAGGGAGGGGATCATACTCTGCTTCAGTATGTCACAGTACATGTTGGCATTCATGGCTCAATGAACTGTAGTCTCCCCAGTTCCAGCAGCACTCATGCTGCCCCAAACCATGACACTAACACCACCATGCTTGACTGTAGGCAAGACACAGTTGTCTTTGTACTCCTCACCTGGTTGCCGCCACACACGTTTGACAGCATCTGAACCAAATCAGTTGATCTTAGTGTCATCAGACCACAGGGCATGGTTCCAGTAATCCATGTCCTTAGTCTGCGTGTCTTTAGCAAACTGTTTGCGGGCTTTCTTGTGCATCATCTTTAGAAGATGCTTCCTTCTGGGATGACAGCCATGCAGACCAATTTGATGCAGTGTGCGGCGTATGGTCTGAGCACTGACAGGCTGACCCCCCACCCCCCCTTCAACCTCTGCAGCAATGCTGGCAGCACTCATACGTCTATTTCCCAAAGACAACCTCTGGATATGACGCTAAGCACGTGCACTCAACCTCTTTTGATCTTTTGAATGAAAAAAAAAAACTAAATGCAAAATCTGTATGCACCTAAAGCACTTCACAATTTATATCATTCACATTCACTGCACCCCTTATACCCTAAAATCACATTAAAGGTAAGCAGGCACCAGTTAGGCCTGTTATATCTAATTGCAACAGCCCTGATGCTGCCAATCTTACACTGCTGTATCCAGTGGTGTATTCTGGTTTTGTGCTGCCCTAGGCAAGACTAAAATCGGGCACCCCCCCCATCTAAATTTGTCCCACCCTTTCATCTGCAAACCCCACCCCTTCCTCTTTAGGCTCCACCTCTTCTTATTAGAGCTCCACCTACTGACAATGATGGGGCGCTATTCCTCCCACTGACACCAATGATGGGGCACTATTCCTCCCACTGACACTAATGATGGGGCATTATTCCTCCCACTGACACCAATGATGGTGCCCCCATCATTAGTGTCAGTGTGTGAGGAATAGTACTCCATCATTAGTCTCAGTGTGAGGAATCGTGCCCCATCATTGGTGTCAGTGTGAGGAATCGTGCCCCATCATTGGTGTCAGAGTGAGGAATCGTTCCCATCATTGGTATCAGTGTGGGAATCGTGCGCCCCATCATTGGTGTCAGTGGGAGGAATAGTGCCCCATCATTGGTGTCAGTGGAGGAATAGTGCCCCATCATTAGTGTCAGTGGGAAGAATCATGCTCCATCATTGGTGTCAGTGGGAGGAACAGTGTCCCATCATTGGTGTCAGTGGGAGGAATAGTGCCCCATCATTGGTGTCAGTGGGAGGAAAAGTGCCCCCTCATTGGTGTCAGTGGGAGGAATAGTGTCCCATCATTGGTGTCAGTGGGAGAAATAGTGCCCCATCATTGGTGTCAGTGGGAGGAATAGTGCCCCCTCATTGGTGTCAGTGGGAGGAATAGTGCCCCATCATTAGTGTCAGTAGGAGGAATAGTGCCCCATCATTGGTGTCAGTGGGAGGAATAGTGTCCCATCATTGGTGTCAGTGGCAGGAAAAGTGCCCCCTCGTTGATGTCAGGGACACCAATGAGGGGGCACTATTCCTCCCACACTGACACTAATGATGGGGCCCTATTACTCCCACTGACACCAATTATAATTACATCACTATGCTGACCCCTGCTTCAGCCCGGGCTCCCTCCTTCAGGCGCAGACACTTACCCATCAGCTGTCTTCCTTCTCCAGCCTCTCCTCCTCTTCACCGGCTCCAGCTTCTCCCTCACTCGATCTTCAATCTTCACGCTGCCGCTCAGATCCTCCTCTCCAAGCTCCGCCTCCTCGCCTGTGATTGGCTGCCTGTGTGCCTTTTCTGAGCAACAGATCTGGTGGCCTATCACTGGCGAGGAGGCGGAGCTTGCAGTGGGAGGGATAGGCTGCCCAGTGATCCCAGGGGTGTGGCCAGATTTGAGGGGCGGCTTGTCATTCCGCCAACACCACGATCAAGATCCAGGAAGATGAAGACACCAGACAGACACCTTCTGCACCCCCCCCTCCAGCAGCGCCTTGTGGACCACATCGACGTGGGGCACCAAGTCGCGGACACAGGTAAGACATAGCAGCCCCTGTCCCTTTCCCACAGAAGTGTCCCTTCTGTGGGAAAGGGGGGGGGGGCGGCGCTGCCGCTGTGCCGCACCCCTGAAAAGTGCTGCCCTAGGCAAATGCCTTGTTTGCCTCGCGGCAAATATGTCCCTGGCTGTATCATCCATGATCTCTTAATTCTTGTAGTAAAACACCTGCCTGTATTCTGTGTTTCAATACATTTCAGCAAATTCTACTTCATTAAAAATGTCCCTTTACAAGCCAATTTTACACTACTAAATCACCTGCTTTCTCTTAAGTCTTAATGACAGTTTGGTGAAAAAGAATGTGTTGCTGCTAAAATTACCTTAAAAAAAACTTTTTTTTTAATGCTGAAATGAATCTAAATGGGATACTGCTGTTATATGTAAGCCAGGCTAATTGAAAAAAAAAAGCAATTCCACAGCAAATTTAATGCTCTAATGTGTATGTTGTCACTAAGACTGTCCATGTCAAGCATGGGCAGCACAGTGGATAAATGGTTAGAACTTCCACCTGGCAATACTAGGTTCAAATCCCAACCACGGCACCACCTGCCTGGAGTTTTCATGTTCTCCCTGTGCCTGCGTGGGTTTCCACACTCTAAAGACATGCTGGTAGGTTAATTGACTCCTGTCTAAATTGGCTCTAGTATGTGTATGTAGGAATGTGAGTTAGGGACCTTAGATTTAGGGTTAGGGACTGATGTGAATGTACTATATATATGTAAAAGCACTATGTAAATTGACAGTGCTATATAAGTACCTGAAATAAATAAATGTCCACATTAAGGCACCCACCATGCATTTTATTTAAAACATGTGTTGCCCTTGAAGCTGCATGAAAGGTCCATTTTCCCACTGTATGGGATTTAATTTTTTTTGGGAGGGGGAAGGGGTGTATGTCCCCCACATAGCAGTACTCCACTTTTCATGCCTTTCTTTTGACAGTATTTTGCCCATTAACCCTAACAATGGGCAGAATTTTCATAAAGGATTGCCCTCCCCCATAGACTTCTATTGTATTCAGCAACCTTTGATGAATCAAACTTGTGCTAGTTCACCCATCAGCAATGGTGAGGTCTGCTTTAATATAGTATTCATCAGCAAAATACTTCTTTTTATATTTTGCTTATCATGTTTATTGTTGTGATCAGGACCCACGAGAGTATTTTCTGCTAGGTTTTATGGCCAGGTAACTAGGGTTGCCACCTCATCCCATTAAAACCGAACATATATTAATTACACAGGTTCTGTGGCTAATTAATGTGGTAATTAAACTCACTTAGTGCCTTATCTGCAATAAATTAGCCTCAGAACCTGTGTAATTAATATGTGTTCGGTTATAAAGGGATGAGGTGGCAACCCTAAGGGTGCTTAAAGAGCTTAAAAAATATATTTCTGTTGCAGTTATTTATACTTTTACTTAATTTACCATTATGGATGCTTGTTTGTTAGTTGTATTTCTATTGTGTATTTAGGTAATCAATATAGAAAAATATGTATTTGCTTCTCTATTCGTGTTTTCAGCCCATGTGCTGAGTTTGTTTGTCTCTAAAATATTACAGTTATATTTTTGCTTCATTCTGGCCTTTTACGATTGTCAGTGTCACAGATTGACTGTAATAGGTTTACAGTGTTTATAATCAATAGTGTACTTTACTCTGCTAGTTTCAGGACTTATGTGTTATTATGAATAGTTTTTTTAAAGCAAATTAAACTTTAATTGCCAAATCTAAAAGTTACTTTTGATTTCCCAAATGTTTCCTTTAATTTAGAAGTATTTCTCTCTATGCCATCACTGGTGTTCTGATGTTTAAAGGATTATAATGAAACATCCCTATAAATCTTAACTTACAAAATTATACAAGTGCACATAGGTTTTTACTGAGCGCATTTTATTGCATATAAAAGCACAGCTCATTTCAATAGATCTTTTGCGTAGTATTAAGAAGAGCTAAAATTCTTTTTCAGTTGTTCTGCTGTAATCCTGTACTGTCTGCAAAAATGATATTATAAAAACATGTTTACTTGCATTGCTTTGTGTAGCGAGACAGCTTCTATGCACTGTAGTTCTCTTTTGGTCTTTGTTGCTTTGCATTGGAAACTATGTACTGTCTAATGCACAGTTCCCTTTGGTCTCCATCACTTGGAAGCATAAAGAATGGCTCATTACTGTGGACAGAAGCTGGTTTATTTTATGGCCTTGTGGTTTAGACAGTGGAATATGGAGGTGGCAAATCTTTTGATGTTGTTTTAACAGCCTCCTCATAGGATGGTAGTGCTACCTGTAACACAAAGAAATGACATTTGTAAAAAATAAAGAAATCAGTATATTGATAGCTTTCTAAGTGAAATATTTTGATAAAAAAAGTTGTAACTAAAGCATTTTTTGAATGAGCAGCTCTGAACACCTAAGGAGCTGCTGGATATTTTTGGGTTCTGCTTTTTCCAGTGGCCACCCACCCTGAACTGGACCCAACAGTCATCGATACACAAACAATTATGCAAAGGGTTTTATTAGGGCCAAAACAAGCCCTGCAAGAGAGACTAGGCAATGACAGGATTAACCAGGTATTAATGCTGAAACAATTTATAAGTACAACCAAATACATGTTATTCATTCCCCCTAGCTGCTTGTAAAGGGGTCTGGCCAGAATGCTCTAGGTGGGTGTAAGAGAAACAATGTTAACAAAGCAATATCAGCACTAAAAGAAATAAATACTCTGACAATGTAAGGTAATGAAGGTTACAGTGCTAATAATAATATCAACAGCAGTGCAGCCTAACTACTGTGTAAAAGGCCCCATCTAACCCATGGTGTATTCATTGAAATGCTCATCCTCAAACAAGGTTATTTGTAATCCAAAGGTAATGTAAGAGCGATGTAACCAGCCTTAGGCAGAACTTCAGTGAAAGCAAACCTTTTAAACACACAGAAGTGGCCGTTAGAACTCCCACCACAATGATGGAGTATAGATGTTCTCCTGCTAACAGTCTATCACTTGATGACCACATTTGCAGACTGGGTGTAGGCAGATGGTCATAGGCCACACTCTTTCTTGTAGTCTTGGCACTGCTGGTACATGTTTGGGGGTTCAGGCAAGACTGTAAAGCTTTTCTTCTAAAGCCTGTTCATTTCCTCTTCTCTAGCTGCTCTGGTGGCCCACGTGGATCCTTTTTATTTAAGAAGGTTTTTTGTGTACTGTTCTTGGCCACTATTTTTTTCCTATCATCAGTAGCATCAAAGAAGTAATCTAATATAAAACACACACACACATATATATATATAATGTCTTTCATTATTATAAACTGGGAAGGAACCTGTAAAACAAGCTCTCTGTAAAAGAGTTATTGAAGCTGAAGGGCTGAGATCTGGTTTGTGTGTATCTATAGGTTCCAGTAATAAAAATATGGCCTCGATACCACCAAAAAAAATAAAATTTTCCAGAAAATTTGTTTTTGTGAACAGGTCTGCTCTGCATGTTTACAAGTTTAGTTTTTGAATGACTGTAATGAAATAGTGTCACAAATGTGATATAGCCGCTTCTATTTATATAAGAAATTTTTGGGGGTACGGAGGGTGTCTATAGAGGTACATATACTGTGTGTATATATATATATATATATATATATATATATACTGCAAAACTGGATAGTGCGGTAGCCAATCAGCTTCTAGGTTCAGCTTGTTCAATTACACTTTGACAAAAAACCTGCAAGTTGATTGGTTTCTAGGCAGAGCTGCACCAGATTTTATACTCTCCTGTTTTAGTAAGTCAACCCAGTGATGCCTTTTTATATTCAAGCCAAAGAAAATTATTTCAGCACAATTTTCTTTTGTTGGTTCTTACCCGCTGAAAACAAATATGCTATGGGTAATAATCCTTATGAAAGCTTCTGATTAAAATATAAATTTTCATTCATATTCATAATACTGCTCAGAAAATGAGAAATGCTCCTCTTTACTTTGCCTACGAATGTGGTGACTTCCCTGCATATCATTTGCACAGAAGTCTTCTCTTGAGTAAACTTCCGAGCTCTCTGCAAACAATCAATGATGATGTCATATCTGCTAAGGTAATTAGTAGATGAAATGTATCTCACAGTTACAATCTCTCTGTATTTATATTAATGTGATGCAAATGGTAGACAGGTAAGCTTGCCATCTTACTTTTGTGAAATCTTGTTGTTGAGGCACATCTTTCTTCTTTGGCGGAGGATTCAGAGACTTGAAGACTTTCCAGACACAGGAGATCATAAGTGCCTGTAGACATTGGGTAGGACCGTTAAACTGTCACTCTACATGCCATAAAAAGGATGCGTGTTTTAGACAAATTTAGACTATGACTTCCTTTTACCTACTGCCAACTGGACCATGGCAAAGACAGTGCAAGACTTGCTGCAGACTGGCACATTGACACAAACAAAGACTTGTGTTATTTTACCCATAAACAACTTTCCCATCCAACAAAATGCAGGTAGTTGGTGTAACTAAATAAATAATTTTCTGTCCGGAACAGAATCTTCTTTTGATCTTCTTTTTGACTGAGCCATTTTGTTGCTTTTAAGAAGATATTTTGCCGTAGCCTTTGTCAGTCAATTTTTTTTTTTAGCAAAACTGCATTCAAAACAGAGTAAATAAAAAATGATTTCTTTACTTTGTAAGCATTTTCACAAGGCTTGTATTTATCCAAAGATTTGTGACAGGTTTGCAGTTGGCGATTTGCTCTCAGAGGAAATAAATTTATGGGTTTACTACATGTAGCGTTCAAAACCTTGTAGTGATCATTACACAAATTGCTAATTTTTATTTTCTTTACCAATGTGCAGATTTAAAAGAATTATATGTTACTTGCAAAGAAACTGGTTGCTCAGCTTGAAGTCTTATGTCTCTTTATTGCACATTTACTTAGTAGTTGTTTATTTGTCATTTTAGTTTTTCAGAGTTATATTGCATTCAAAATGAACATTAATAGCGTTTGTGTATATAAGACATAAAAGCTTATGCAAATGATTAGAAAGTTTCATGTTCCTCTTTGCACACATTACTGTATAAAAAATGAAACATAAAATGTAATGAACAGTAATGGCTATGGATTTGAGTTTTACTCATTAGTACCCGTTTCTTAATTGTTCACATGGGTCAAAATACTGATCAATTGCTATTATCCACTATTCCTTTATTCTATTTAGCTAGGGCACTGGCATGTCACACAGAGTATATGTAGCCTGTTCATTCTATGTTCATCTCTCATTCAGAGCACCTAAGCAAAGTGTTGTATAATGGTGGTATAAAATCTAGGATGAAAACAGAATTATAAAATGAAACAGAAATTCAGTGTCAGTCATTATCACTCCATGTGGTCCTACAAACTACTAAGGTACACTTGAGGGTCTATTTATAATAATTGGTTGAACGAATATCACTGCTGAGTTTCTATGATTTCATATGCTGAGTTTGATATCATATCCTATGATTGTTAGCTCCATCGAGTGGGCATTTTATGTTTTCCCTGAAATACTTCAATCAGAAAAACACCACATTATGGCCAATAGATGGCATTGACAATCATAGGAAATTAACATATTAACTATTTGACTACTGTGACACAGCCCCCCTGGACCATGTATCTGTCTGTCAGCGGGGCTCTTCCAGGTTTGTTGGAGTGCATACTGCTGACCGCACTGTAGTTGGTTTGTCAGCAGGTCCAGGCCAATGATTCATGGCTGAGACCCGCTGATCGGCTATGTCCAATCACAGCTCAGAGCACTTAGTTTACAAACACACAGGACTCTGTACGCTGATCAGTGATCTGGATGTTTCTTTTTCCTGCAAAGCAGGGAGAAAAAACATTCAGATGGAAAAGTAAAAGCAGCATACATTACACATTGTTAGGCACATATTTAATCCCTTGAGTACAGTATCAATGCACAGTATTATCACTGCTAAATGTGTCACTAGCAATGGCAGTGTCTGTTAGCGACACTCCCAGATAGTGTGTGTTAGCGGCAGATTGCCCGCCACCCTATCACAGTCACACTATAAATTGATGATCACCACCATTATCAGTATAGCGTCATAGCTGCTTAAATTCCAGTAGACACTATACCTTTCGCACAAATTAATATACACTTATTGCTATTTTCTATTAACAAAGACATGTAGCAGAATACATTTTGGTCTAAATTTATGAAGACGTTTTATTATTTGTATATTTTTATTGGATATGTATTGTTACAGAACGTAGAAAATACTGGGGGTTTTTTCTTAAAAATTTTTGGTCTTTTTTGTTTCTATTGCAAAAAATAAAAAACCTTGTGGTGATAAAATACCACCAAAAGAAAGCTCTGTTTGTGTGAAAAAAATTATATAAATTTCAGTGTTGCTTGACCGCACAATTGCCAATTAAAGTTGCACAGTGCTGAATATTAAAAGTAGAACTTCACTCTCTCAGTCAACGTTGGCTATTTTGAATCCTTATGCTGCTAGCATTAGTAAATAGATAGGAAGGTGTATTGTATTTACCTGTTTTAAACTATTTTTTAAATTTCTTCAGTTAGTTTCTGGTTTTCATTACTCGGCAATTTATGTCATACATCCCAGGAGTCTTCAGGAGGGGAGGAGGAGCTTTCTCAGCTATGCACACCCTCCTGCCTGCATGCCTGAACTAAGGGCAATTGGATTCCAGGAAGTAATTGCTACATGAGTCATCTGCCCTTATTCAAGATGGCTGTAGCCAGAAATTCTAGGGGGTGTTTTTCTAAATGATTTCTCATGGATACATAGATCGATGGGCGAGTTTGCTTTGAATATGCGTGGGTTTCCTCTGGGTACTCCAGTTTCCTCCTACACTCTAAAGATATGCTGGTAGGTTTATTGGATCCTGTCTAAATTGGCCCTAGTATGTGTATGTATGAATGTAAGTTAGGGACCTTAGAATGTACACCCCTTGAGGGTTAGGGACTGATGTGAATGTATAATATATATGTAAAGCACTGCGTAAATTGACAGCGCTATATAAGTACCTGAAATAAATAAATAAGAAATAAATATTAAAAATAAACTAAAAAGTGCTTTCAGTTTGTGGTACTCAGAAACAGTGTAGTTCCCTTTTAAGTTAAAATAGTTAGAATTTGAGGTGTATGGGCAATGTTTGACATTCTTCCAAACTAATTTTGATACAGAGTCACCGCTGAACCGCTTGACCCGATGGGATTAAAAAAAAAGTACACAGATACAGGATATGCAGGATATAGCTAATGTTAGCCCTTTCTTCCACTTTAATATTTCAGCAATAAAGCATTGTGTTCAAATTGCATAAGCAATAATAAGAATTGCTTGCCAGAATTGCTCTACTGGCCAGTCATATTGTTGTGGTCCCATATATACAGTTGTGTAATTTCATGACTGTGCGTGTTTTATCTGCTGTGCTGTAGCTCATCATAGAGGCTTCTCCAATCACCATTGGGGCCGCTCTGATGAAGTTGCCAGGACAGTTTTGATTTTCAGCATTTATGAAACCTAATTAACTTTAGGTTTTAAGTACATAACCTTATTTTGTTCAGTAATCTTCATCTTCTGATGACCTTTTAATAGTATAATGCTAGACAATGCCGTGTTTATTCCAGTGAGTCCTGGAACTCTTCTTGTGCTAAGCAGCAGAGTTTATGGAGCAAGCATGGTATATATTCATCTTACTAATTACATTGCACTGAACTGCTGAATCGTCTTTTTTTTTTTCTGCTCACTCGGTTTGATTAAAAGCTTTCTATAAAGTTTAGACATGTGTACTCAAACAGAGAAATGTTACCTTGTACAAAATCACAGCAGTGTGGAGCAAAGTGAAGAGGATCAGTCTGGCGGTATATTTCTGAAAGGGGACGTTGTTCACCAAAAAATAATTCTGAGGAGATAAAGAAAAGCGTTCATTACTGTTTTGTACCTTGAACCTAAGTGCTAATGGTTGCCATAAATATAAACACAGAGCATAAAATTTAGCTATACTAGTGCAAGGCAGCTGGTGTAATCTATAACAGTTTATTCAAGATCATGGCCTATTCTGTATTTTCGTCTTAATAAAAGCCCAATTATTAAAGATAATTAGTCCAACCCTATACTATATAATGTTTGTCTGTGATACAACTTCTCCAAGATTGGTGGCAGCTGGCAGGGAGCATTAACAAATAAGCAATAAACAGTGACCCAATTTGATCTTCCATTAGGTCTTCACTGCTGTCTGGGAACACAGTGGTGAACTTTCCCTGCAATCCCAGCACAAGGAAATGAAGGGCTAAAAGCTTATGCTTTCAGCATTACTAATTGTCACCAGCTTTCAAATTCTTCATCTCTTCCTAAGGAAATTCAAAAAATGGAGCATGATTTTCTGTACTCTGCATCCTTTACGAACAATTCATTTCTGAAAGCAATAATAGTAGGTCTACTGAAAAGCCATTGAAATATGTACATCATACAGCTGCTAGTATACAAGCAGGACAAAGTGGCCAGGAACTGTTATAAAGCAGCAATTTACATGGCATTTTTTGTTTTTTAAATGTCACTTTAGCTGTAGTACATCGTACAGGTGCACCATTTCAAAGGCAGGTTTAGGGCATCCGCCAAACATTTTTGCTGTAAAGGAATTGTGCATTTTTAATGTTGCCCTTTAATCTTTTTTTTTAAAAGTGCTGCTCACCTCTGAACAGTATGTTTTTGCTATTTTTGCATTGGTACATATTCCATCTGGCAGTACCCAGTTCTCCTTTCCGTGTGTTTGACAATCCTGTGTCTATTAACCTTAAAATGTGAAAAATCTGTCTGCAGGATTTGTTCCCGATAGACTTTAAAGGAGTTCAGAAAGCGTTTGCAATTTCCAAACTTTTTTTTAACAGTTTGACGAACATCCCATGAACCAAACCCAGGCACTATTCGTTAACGGGAGATTATTTTCAAGAGTAGGACATATAGTACATCTTTGAGATGAACAGTTCAGGGGACTGTTTGGAATAGAGGGCCATGTAGATAACTTTCTCCTATTCTATTCCTCTGGTAATTCTTTTGTTTTGCTTTGAGTGAAGAAATGTTTAGTATTGGTCAGAAGACTTTTTGCTCCAGAATTAATGCATCAGATGGAAAATCATGACGTGCTTTCACTGGAATGGAAGACACGCTTAGCATCCTCTATTTCTTCTCTACTCTGCTCCTCCAAACTGGTACACCAGGCTGGTGAGAGGGCAGATACAGCTACTTATGGTTCTTAGTCATGTCCTAAAAGCTGCAACAAGCTTTGAATAAGGCAGCCTGGTGGATCCCAACATTATTATTGGGATCCTTCCCATATTTGGCCGGGTTTTGTCCCATCAGATGACAGTGGCAATAGCCTGTTGTCGCCTGACTCTGGATCACAGGAAAACAAAAGTAAATATACTCCTGTGAGTCAAAAGAAAATATAGCCAAAAAACTTTTTGCTTTTAAGTGACCTGCACACAACACATCAAAGCCTCGACAAGATATTTCTGGTGGTAGTTTCCTTTAGAACTACCTGTGTCTAATTCAGGCAAGCATTTTTTTAAGTTTATTGACAAGGGCACCAAATTAAAGTGGTTGTAAAGGCTCCATGTCATTTACTTTCATGCATTCTATGCATGAAGGTAAAAAACCTTCTGTATGCAGCTGCTACCCCCTCCCCCCAGCCCTCCTAATACTTACCTGGGGCCCATCATGATCCAGCAATGTGCATGAGAGTTTCAGATCTCCGAGGCTCTCCCTCCTCCTCCATTGGCTCCCACTGTGAAATGAAAGGTGGCGGGGCCGAGCCACAGCTCTGTGTGTGAATGGACATGAAGAGCAGCCGCTCATGCCCCCATAGCATGTTGCTAAGTAGGAGGGAGGGGCCAAGGGCGCTAGCGGGGAACCCGAGAAGAGGAGGATTGAGGCTGCTCTCTGCAAGACCACTGCATAAAGTAGGTAAGTTTCATATGTTTTAATTTTTTATTGCTTTTAATATAACTTTAAGGTAGTTCTTACTACTGTCGATTTAAAAACCAGAGCAGATTTATAAAGACTTGCCACCAGTTCACAGATGAGGAAACTAGGAGTAACTAAGACCAGCTGTGAGTTGGTGTATGGAGATATACCAATGCTCAGAGTGGGGCATGTCTGTGCTGTGAAGCTATCATATACTGGATCTGACAAATTTCTACACAAAACTATATCCCCAGATCCATTCAACTATTGGCAGGGAGATTATCCAGCCGAAAGCTAAATGTAAACAAAGGGGCCAGAAGTACTAGCAGTGCTGCTATAGGAAAGTCTTTTATTTCTTCTTCTATAGTTTGCAGGCATTCTACCATTTCTAGAGTATATTTTATATAGTCTTACATGTGTTGGATTTCATTAGCTTAGCCTGGTATAGCTTTCTAATTAATTAAAGTTTATAATTTGCTCTTAAGTGCACTTTTTTTAGGCCCTCTCACATTTGTTTCATTGCACATGTGCACAATTTGACCACCATCTATACTCAGGGTTATAGTACTTTGAGCTTTTTTAACTTTCCCTGTGGAGGAGGGGGGCTGGTCTGGGCTCTTGCATATACTTTCCAGGACTATAAAAAAAAATCTAGTCCTGGGAAGAATATTTAAGTATTCGAAATTCTGGTTTGTCAGATTAACAATTGAAAATATTGATGAAGCACTGTTAGTAGCTATCACGTATGCTTTCTGACCTTTTTCTGTTTTGCTATATCTGTATCTTTATCTACAGTGGTAAGTAATGCTGAATCTGTTGGAAAGCTGCTTTTGATGTGATTCTTACTAGTCAGAGGGTGCTGGACACATGGCTGAGCCCTTCTTGTTTTTTTTGGGCGCAGAGAAAGAAAATTACATCCTAATCAAGTGATTCCACTGGGAGGAACATTTCAGTAAACACACATAAACATAATACTACCATAACACTGCCACCAAGAAAAACAACTGTAGGAGTACCCATTTTACTCACCATGCTCAAATGCATGTGAAAGCCTCTATATCTCCATTACTCACAACACTGTGGTTTTGTGGACATGTCCAGGAAATATAAATTCCTCAAATTCCCTCCCTCAGCAGCTCAGATCACGCTCAATGAGGCAGAAGAAGTACGGCAAGTGTTCAGCAGCCAAGTGAGATACCCTCCACTGTCAAAACCAGCGTGCAGACAGCCAGGCTGGAGCCCAATAGAATGCAGCTTCCCCATACCCTGACTCAGCTACTGTGGGAATCTCCTCCCCAGTTGCTACCAGAAAACTCCAGTTCCACTGTGGTGGCTCTTGTTCTTGGATTCCTCTAGCTATTCACTTGTATTATCAGAGCTACCCTAGACTTTGTTGTGAGGGATGCTTTTTTTGAGGAAAATGGCAAATACAGTTGCAAGAAAAAGTATGTGAACCCCTTGGGATTACGTGGAGTTTTGCATGAATTGGGCATAAAATGTGCTCTGAACGTCATCTAAGTCACAACAATAGAAGAACACAGTCTGCTGAACATAATACTACACAAACATTAGATGTTGCCATGGTTTAATTGCACATAACATGTAAACATTCACAGTGCAGGGAGGAAAAAGTATGTGAGGCCCTAGCTTAATGACTTCTCCCAGAGCTAATTGGAGCCAGGAGTGAGCCAACCTTGACTCCAATCAGTGTGATGATATTGGATGTGTTGCTGAAAGCTGTCCTGCCCTTAAAAAACACACACCTGTTTTGGGTTTACTGGTTTCAAGAAGCACTGTCTGATGTGAACCATGCCTCGCAGAAAAGAGCTCTCAGAAGACCTACAATCAATAAATGTTGACTTGCATGAAGCTGGAAAGGGTTACAAAAATATCTCCAAAAGCCTTGATGTTCATGTGTCCATGGTGTCTACAAATGGAGAAAGTTTAGCACTGTTGCTACTCTCCCTAGGCGTGGTCGTCCTGTAAAAATGACTGCAAGAGCACAGCGCAGAATGCTGCATGAGGTAAAGAAGAATCCCAGAGTGTCAGCTAAAGACCTACAGAAATCTCTGGCACATGCTAACATTTTTGTTGACACATCTACAATAAGGAAAACATTAAACAAGAATGGAGTACATGGGAGGACACCATGGAGGAAGCCATTGCTGTCCAAAAAGAATATTGCAGCACGTTTGAAGTTTGCAAAAGAGCACCTGGATGTTCCACAGCACTACTGGCAAAATATACGGTGGACAGATGAAACCAAGATTGAGTTGTTTGGGAAGAACACACAACACTATGTGTGGAGAAAAAAAGGCACAGCACACCAACATCAAAACCTCATCCCCACTGTGAAACATGGCGGAGGGAGCATCATGGTTTGGGGCTGCTTTGCTGCCTCAGGGCCTGGACGGATTGTTGTCATTGATGGGAAAATGAATTCCAAAGTTTATCAAGACGTTTTGCAGGAAAACGTACGACCATCTGTCCGCCAACTGAAGCTCCGCAGAGGATGGGTGATGCAACAGGACAATGACCCAAAGCATACAAGTAATTCAACAAAACAATGGCTGCAACAGCACAGAATACGCCTTCTGGAGTGGCCCAGTCAGAGTCCTGACCTCAACCCCATTGAAATGCTGTGGCATGACCTTAAGAGAGCGATTCACACCAGACATCCCAAGAATATTGCTACACTGAAACAGTTTTGTGAAGAGGAGTGGTCCAAAATGACTCCAGATCGTTGTGCAGGTCTGATCTGCAACTACAGGAAACGTTTGGTTGAGGTTATTGCTGCCAAAGGAGGGTCAACCAGTTATTAAGTCCAAAGGTTCACATACTTTTTCCTCCCTGCACTGTGAATGTTTACATGTTATGTGCAATTAAACCATGGCAACATCTAATGTTTGTGTAGTATTATGTTCAGCAGACTGTGTTCTT